GTCCTTGAATTCCAAACGCCCCAACCCAAAATCCAAAAACCCCAAAAAGAGTTTTAAAAGTTTAACTTACCAAACGGCTGCAAAAGAAGTTTTGGAAAAGCTTCAAAAATCGCCAAAGTCTTCAAAAACCTCAAAAAAAGGCTACCACACCGTGTGCTATGAGTTGTTCCTCGAAGTCAAGTGGCAACTGCACCTCTTCAAGCAATGCACCTTGGGTTTTAACGGTTTTACGAAAAAGGAAACAAACTTGCAAGACGTTTTCGTCTTGCGAAGCAAGCCCATAGGGAAAATCGTCTTGCGAAGCAGCTCAAAAACCGCAAAACCCTTTCGTCTAGCGAGTTTTTCCATCTTGCGAGGCATTCGTCTTGTGGGGCACCACTGTACTTGGTTCTTTGCTTGCAACTCTCTGAGTTCAGCAAAGCCAAACAAGATCTATTGTCTTGATACACTTGTATAGGACATTTCGCAGAAACTCTGATGTCCTTAAACAGTTGCATCAACCATTCACAATTCATGAGTGAAAATGACAGAGCATTGAGTTCTGCTTCACAGGAACTTAGGCTCACTGTCGTCTGCTTCTTGCACAGCCAGTCAAACAGACAGTGGTTGTACATGTAGCATACTCCAGAAGTGCTTGTACCATCCGTGGTGTCACTTCCAAAACTAGCATCCGCAAAGATTTCAAGACCTCCAGTCTTCTGACTGGTGAACCTCAGCCTGTAGTGCAAAGTCCCTTTCAAATAGCGGGCTATGCGCTTCAGAGCTTTCCAATCCTGAACAGTAGGATTGTTAGCATGTCTGCTAAGCAGGTTAGTGCTTACAGCTATGTCAGGCCTTGAACATCTAGCAATGAAATTCAGCTTGCCTAGAATGCATCTGTACAGCGTAGTGTCAGAAAATGCTTCAGCAGTACTATCTACCTGGTAACTTGTCACCATCGGTGTGTCTGCTGGGTTTGCATCAACTAAATTCAACCTGGTTACTACATCAGCAATTTTCTGTGTTTGGTGTACCAGAAAATTACCTGCTCGGTCCCTCTCCACCTGCAGAGAAAGATAGTTGAATACCTCACCAAGATCCTTCATGTCAAAGTGCTCCTTCAGCTGAGCGAGGGTGCTTTGGTACAAAGCCTGATTCTTCCAAAACATCAGAGGATCATCAACAAAACATAAACAATACAGTTTGTTTTGCCCCTCCTCCTTGACAAACACACATGGATCAGCTTTGCCCTGGTGAAAACCTAGAGAAAGCAATGTCTCAGTGAGTTTTGTGTTCCAACACCTGGCACTCTGCTTGAGACCATATAAGGATTTCCTAAGTTTACAGACCATTCCCTTCTGTATCTGCATCCCGTCAGGTGGAAGCATAAACAGCTCCTCCCCCAAAACCCCGTACAAAAAAGCTGTATTAATGTCATGATGGGAAACATGCAGTTTCTCCTCTGCAGCAATCTTGAGCATCAGCCGAATGCTCTCATACTTGACGGTGGGAGAGTAGGTCTCGTGGTAATCCTGTCCTGGTACCTGTGAAAAACCTCTGGCAACCAATCTGGCTTTGTGTCTGACAACCTTGCCATTCTGGTCTGTCTTGGCCTTGAAGACCCATTTGCTGCCAACCAGTCTCATTCCTGGGACTACCGGTACCAGCTCCCAAGTTTGGTTCCTATTCAAGGACTCAACTTCAGCCTTCATGGCATTAAGCCAAGGCTCAGCATCTTTAGAGGTTAACTCCTGAACCTCTTTGAAGCTTGAAGGTTCCCATACCTTCTCTGAGCTACTAAGAACAGCAGTTGCCGTCTTAGCAAACTCATCAGCAAATCTCTTTGGAGGTCTGCCTTTGGTGGCCCTTTCAGATCTGCGTACTAGACGCAAGTCTTCTGGACTCATCTCCTCCTTCTTAGGAGAAAAGTGACCAGTGGTGAACAGTGGTTCTTCCAGTTCATTGTCAGACGCATCAGATGGTCTGACTGAGGCCTTTGCGCTCTTGTAGTCTGCTGTGTCATCACTGTCGCTGACATCAGCAGCAGCGCCGCCCACTGAGCTGGAATCCGAACTCTGATCATCATCCTCAGCTTCCTCAGCTTCCTCTTCATCAGCTGCCTTTTTCACATCTTCTTCATCTTCCTCTGGGTAACTCTGGAAAATTCCCACATTTTCCCCCCACTTAGGATTGTACTCAACACTCTTTGTGAACTTAAGGGACTTAGAGTCAGTCATCCATACACTGTATGAAACTTTTCGTACCCCATGAACAAACCATGTGCCCCACGCTTCCCAAGCTTGTTGCTCTGTGGGGTGTGTACCCACATGTCAGAACCAAAGATTCTCATGTGCTTGACGCAAGGTTTCTTACCAAACATCTTCTCATAGGGAGTACAACCAATAGGTGATGACAGTCTCCTGTTATAGGAATAAACGAACGTGGACAAAGACTCCCCCCAAAACTTCTCAGGGAGATTGGCATCATGCAACAAGGTTTTTAGGCCTTGAAGCAAAGTTTGGTTTGCTCGCTCAGCAAGTCCATTCATCCATGGCGATCTAGGCGTTGAGAGGTCATGCTGGATTCCCTTCTCAGTCAGGAAAGCTTCAAACTGCTGAGAAGTGAACTCCCCGCCCCGATCAGTAATGAGACAGCCGATACATTTACTGTGAGCATTCTCCAACCAAGCACAGAATGCCTTGAACCTAGGAAACGCTTGCGACTTCTGCTCGAGCATAAACACATGAATGTACCTGGAAAAAGAATCAATTAGAACCATGAAGTACCTTGCTCCACCCAAAGAGGGCGCAAGTGGACCAACCAGGTCTGCGTTGACTAGCTGGTAGGGTTTGGAAGCCTGCCTGCTAGACTCCTTGCCTTTTGGAGCAACCTTCACTTTGTTCTCGTGCACAAGATACACATTTCATGTGAAACTTACAGGGCTTGAAGTTCAAACCCTGAACCAACTCAGGCATCTTGGCCAGTGCCTGCCAAGACATGTGAGCAAACCTTCTGTGTGCCTCGTTATTACAACCTGCATGAAGAACTTTGTTAGTTTGTGCAACACAACAAGAATCAACATTAGACACAGCAGCACCATTGTCATCATAAGTTATACAGAACAATCCATCTATAAACTTTGCATGCAAAATGTCCTCTTTGCCTTTCCTGATGACACAGATGCTCCTCTTGAAGGAAATCTCAAAGCCACGCCCAGTCAGCTGTGGGACACTGAGCAAATTGTCTGCAGAATCTGGAACATAAAGTACATCTCTGATGGTAGTGTGCAGACTTGCCAGTCTCACATTCCCGACTCCTGCAATTCGCAACGTCTTTCCATCAGCCTGGTGGATCTCTCCATCTTGAGGTGTGAAGGAGATAAATAGATGTTTATCTTTTGCCAAATGGCGGGTCGCTCCCGAATCTATAACAAATCTGGCTTTGGCCCTTGGAGCAGCTTTTTCAGCAAGCAAAACCTTGTTTTCCACTGGCTTGGGCTTCTGCTGCTTGCTCCCCTGCTCCTGGCCATCAGACTTGCCTTTGGCCTCGCATTCTGGGAAACAGCCAGGACCTCCGACGCAGTCAAACTCTGGGCTGGGATGACCGGCAGATGGGCTACTTTCAAAGCATTCCACATCTTATGTGCAGTCGTGTTGCCAGCTAGCGTGGCAATTTCCTCCAGAGAGACGGACAAGACAATTACGTCTATGGCCCTTGAATCTTCGGCCTTCCATCTATCTGTCAGAGGAACTGGCGGGGCTTCACACACAGTATGCCACACTCCAAACTGTCGTAGTAGACTTTCACACCATTTTGCCCAGGTCTCATAATTGTGGGCATTTAACTTTGGGCACTGAGTGCCATCATCTGAGGCTTGGAAAAACTCCATTCCAGGCTTTTACTTGAGCCGTGAGCCTTTATGCCTTCAAAAACTTCTTATCTCGGCAGCTCATAAATCTTGAAGCCTCTGGCGTGGCTCCCAGGCTAATTAGCCAGCAGGAGTTCAAAGACTCTCTGCCACGGCAACAGAAAAGCCTTACTTTCGCTTTTCCCCCCACACAGATCACAGCAGTCTTTTGCAGCCTTACTCTCCTGTAAGTGCCGTGAATGTGGGCCCATAACCTGTTGTTGGGATACTGCCAGGGAGACAAAGGCCATCGTGACCCCATGTCGATTCCGGACGATCCATCGATCTCCCGTAGATACAGTATCAGTCAATTAGCGACACGAGCCTCGGAAATAGCTTTCCACATTCCAAGCCTTGGTGCACGCTCTATCAGCAGAGTTCGTACAGCAAAAGATGCACTCAGGAGAGCATTATTTACAACTTTATTCAGCGTTGATCAGAACAAAGAGAAAACATGACTGCCTGCTTCGATGTTCAGGCGCAGAGAGAAAACGAAAGCAATAAACAATAGAGAAACTTCCTGTGAACAGGAAATACGCAGGCTGTGACACAACAACCTGCTCCCTTTTTAAGGTGGAACGGAAATATCCTAACAGTGTCATCTTATAAAAAGTCAAGTTCACTATTACCACTATTATATAAACTTTGTCAGTTTGATAAGAGGTGAGTGGACAAAGCAGAAACCTATACAAAGCAAACAAAATCTTCTTGCCACCAATTAGGCTATTCCACCGAATGAGTTCATCAAATCAAAAACCAGAACAGAATAATATAAATCTTCTTGCCACCAATTAGGCTATCTCCAAATAAATTGGTTTTCTGAAAACAAGCATCCTTAAGTTTGTGTTCCCAATATAATCCACTATAGGCCACCAGAGGACAAAACATCTTCACCAAATTAATCCAAGATTTCTTCTTAAAGGGAAGAGTAGCTTGAAATCATAGTTAATCCCGTCGATCACCCCTAAACCAGATGTTGTATATATAAAAGAGAAAACATAAACTCCCAGGAAGGAGGAATTTCAAAAAACCGAAAAAAAACCCTTTTCCAAAATTATATCCAAATCTGTTTGTCAGCACTTCTCTCTCTCTCTCTCTTTTTTTTAAAAAAAATGATATTTATTAAGAATTTTAAAATTACAGGAAAAACAAAAAGAAAAAGAAAGAGAAAAAACAAAAGAAAAACAAACCTCAATCAAACAATACAAATTGATAAAAATCAAAATCAAAAAAATAACAACAAAACACGTAACACAACACAATCAAAAAGCAAAAATAAGCCACAAAAATTTAAAAACAAATCCAATATTCCCAAATCCTTAACTGTCATTGCCTTATTTCATCGACCTCCTCACTCCTCCCTTTTTTGTATCCTAGTTGTTAATTATCGCAGCAAATCCTTTCCATTTTTCATAGTATTCTGTCATTAAATTACCTTAATCTATTTTAACCTTATCTTACTATAAAAGACCCTAAAACTTAAAACTTAGATCTTATTTATACCAATTTCTCATAACCATAACATATTCTTACATAATTCTTTTAACATTTTTGCTAAAGCCAAATAATTTCGTTCCAACATTTTTCTAACATTCATCAATTTTATAAAACAATCCTAATAAAAAAAAAATTCAAACTTTCTTCCAATCTTCATCCAGCGTCTCTTCCTCCTGGTCCCGGGTTTTGTCAGTCCTTTCTATCCCATCAATCTAGCGCATTAACCTGGTAATCTTATGTCCAAGGCCCTTAAGTCTCTTCCATGTCCCTTCCGCAGCTCTTCTTCATATTTATACCTGTACTTTACTTTGTCTCCTGCTCCTTTCACTCGTGGAAACTCCAACTTGACAGTGTTTTTGACCCTTCTCGACAAATCAGCCCCTTTTCCATAGTCCACACTAAACTCCACGTGGTATTTAAAAACATGTTTCAAAGTCCCTCCAGAATTAAGAGCCCCCACAACCCCAAACATCTCACGGCAGCACTTCTCAAAGCTGTATCCAAATAGCCAAGTTCCAAAGGTGAAGTTCACACACACAAAAAAGAAAAATTTCCCATAAAAAGCAAGCACAGGTCTTCCAATACTAAAGAGGCACAAGTCACTTTCAAAATGTTAAATCTCTCATCAAAAATCGCAAAAAAACAAGTTGTAATATCTCATTCCTTCCACTAGGGTAGAGGAAAAACCCACTATTATATGCGTAATTTGCAAATTTAAAAATTCATAAAATAAAAAAGGAGGAGACTTCCCAATTGCAAATAATAGTATGCTTAGGTGACAGAGACAACTAAGTTCCTTAGCAGTAAAGACTCAAAAAAAAAAGATCCAAAAGATGTTTGTCCGCTATTTCCACAGTATCGCAGTTCCTACAAAGTCTTAACAATGGAGTCAGAAGCTCCCTTTCCGTTCTGCAGCTCTCTGTTCTTTTTAAAAGTGAAAGTAGTTAAGCACTTCAATCCTCTGATTTCCCCTCCGTTACATCAAAGACCTCAAATTTTCCAAAATTATAACCTTCTGCTCTCCCTTTTACCTTTAATAGTCCCTTGATACTTGTAACTTCTTAAAAAAGTTACTTTTTAAAGAGTTCTGGAGAGAAAGAAACAATAACCGCTAGCGGCAACTCACTTTCCTTTTCCAGCTCTGCGTGCTGCGTTGCGTCTGAACTGATTCCAGATGACAGCTGAACTCCATGTTTTTGCTTTGTACTTCGAATCCTTCCTTAATTTATTTGCCTTCAAATTTGTAATCCAATTAGGTCCGAATTTCTTCTGTTTGAGAATGGAGCGCTTCTCTTGCAAGCTCGGGGCTTCGCTATTTGGATATAGAAAATGGCTTCCCGTAGCCCGCAGCCCCGCTCCGCCGTTCTCTTCGCCCCTTTTCTGAGGTTACCTGACGGCCGGGCGGGCTGTTCCTGGCTTCACTGGGAACCTGTCACTCTGGGTATCACCCCAGAGATTAAAATTGGGGGCTACTGCGCCCTGTAGCGCCCCTATTTATCCAAAATAGCACTGGATTCTCCTTGCGGTAAAATCCCCGCTTGCGGCAGACTCGCGCTCCACCGGAAGTCTATGAGGTTGTTTCTTTGTTTGTTTGTTTCTTTGTTTGTTTTTAAAAGGAGAAGAGGAGGAGGATGAACGTACAGTATGAGTTGTGTGTGTCTGGATGTAAAATTGCAACAGCCCTTTGCTCACCATTTCTCTGAATATTTGTGGTAGTGTGGGCAAACACTTGGATCAAATCCTGTTGTGGCTTTTTCCGTAAATATTCTTCCCCTCAACAACTCCTTTTTGCAAACTGCTGAGGTTCAGGGCTTGAAATGTGGTAGAATTTACTTTGGAGAGGAAGTGGTTAATATTTGCAAAAGGATGTCAGGAAATAGAATAAACTGGGAGCAGCATTCTGGTCTCATGATGTTGAGATTAAGAGTATCCATTGCAATTGACAAGAGAGTGTGTGAATGAACAGCTCTGGGGTCCCTCATCTCCCTTTAGCGGGCAAAAGGTTCATCTGAAAAGAGCTTGGCTCAGAGGTAAGAATCCCTAACACTGTGTTTACCTGCCAGCTTCTGCCTCACCTGTATGTATTGGCTGCTATTTCTAACTCTGCATGTGAAGCAGGGAATCTGTTCCGGTTAACAAGGAGAGAGGGCTAGTTAGATGCTCCCCAGCATTTGTTTGAAGTTTATATCATTTGTCCTGGGAGATAGAATGGGGGATGTTACAGAAAAATCTAGGTGTGAGGCTGCTCAGTCACCCAGCTCATCGGGCAGAGCCCACGGGTCCCTGCGGAATAAAGGAAGGATTCCAGCCAACTGGAGCAAAAAGCTGTAGACCAAAGTTTATTGCGCAACAGGTTCAAAGAGGAATTTTGAACCCCAAGGATGGAGTGACAAAGACTTTTAAAACTTTCCCACCATATCCCAGAATACAGTTTGTACAACGTCATTGCTACATCATTGCTACATCACTGACATGTCACAAAAGGGGAGGGGTAGACAGGGGTTCCACTAGTTTAACCTTGGCAAACATGTCCAGACAAGTCCTTGGTACAAGATTAGCATAAGCAGACATGGCAGGGCAAGACTCAGATCATAGAGAAAAATGTCTTAAGTGCCGTATTTTTCGCTCCATTGGACGCACCCGACCATAGGACGCACCGGACCATAGGAGGGGGAGAACAGGAAATTATTTTTTTTTCTTGTTCTCCCCCTCTAAAACAAGGTGCGTTCAAGGTACATTCACCAGAGCTTGTGGGGCTGGCGGTGCGGGGAAGCGCTGCTTTCCCCCACCGCCAGCCTCAAAGATCCCTGAAGCCTTTGGAGCGCAGCGCCCCGCTGCCCTGCAGAGGTTTGCGCACAGCCGTCCCCAAGCTAGAGCAGCGAGACGGAGCCCTCCGTCTCGCTGTTCTGGCTTGAGAACAGCCTTGCTAGCTTCTGCAGGACAGCGGGGTGAAGGCACCCCGCTGCCCTGCAGAGGTTTGCGCACAGCCGTCCCCAAGCTAGAGCAGCGAGACGGAGCGCTCCGCAGTGCTCCGTCTTCCTGTTCTGGCTTTGGGCTTAGCGGCGCAGCCTGCATTCACTCTATAGGACGCACACACATTTCCCCTTAATTTTTGGAGGGGAAAATGTGCGTCCTATAGAACGAAAAATACGGTACCCACCACCCAAAAGTACAATAGAACTTCCTTTGCATGTCTGGACCCCTTGGCAAGTCTGGTGATGGGATTAGGCTTTCCTTGGCCAACAATCAGCTCAGCAATTGTCACCTCTGGGAACTTCCTGGGGTCCTTTTTCAAGGGGAAAATAGCTTTGGAATGGAGGAAACTGGCAAAGGAGTTGATTTTATATTATTTTTAAAGCTAGGTAACTTCCCTGAGCTGTCAAGTTGAAAGGATACATTCAGGCATGATATTTGTAACATTTAACAACTTTAAAGATGTGCCCCCCCCCCCCGTAATTTCCGTAACAGGGGATAATTTACAGATGTGTGTCTGAGCTGTGGACTATCTGCTGTCTGCTTATGGGATGGATCAGAGCACCAGAAATAGTAGCTGTATCTCACTACAATCTGGAGAGCATTCCTAACAAGCATTGTCTGCTCATGTGGAATTGCTGCAAGATGGGAACATCCCAGGGTGGCAAACCATTTGTTATCTGCCTCATTGAACAGCTGCTTTTTTTCCAAACCTGGGATCTGGTGGGGAGGGAAAAGGTTATGTGTGTGTTGAACAACCTGATCACAATGGAAACCCGAGAAGTGTGATGTTTAACTCTTGTTCTTCTTGGAAGACCTAAGGGCAGTGATTAAAGGGGCAGAGGGATATGTGAGTGTTGAATTTCAAAAAATATTGTATTCTGCATTTGTAAGTGCTCTGCATCTGTCAGTGTTGGGTGAGAAGGAAAGTCATTTTGATTTGTGCTTCCTTGAACAGGTACATGTTGGAGGAGGGAAGCTTCCTAGTGCTATAATCTCCTTAGCAGTGTAGTGTTTTGATTTAAGAGATTTTGCTGTTAACCATTGGATGTGTGCTGCAGTAAAGCTTGTTAGCCACTCGATTATTATTTTTTATCTTAAGGGTTTTGGTTCAAATCTATTTTTTACAGCTGCACATTGTCAGCTGAAATCCAAAGCCCTACTTAGACTTGCCCAACTGTTTCCTTAGACCCAGTAGGACTTTTCCCTTTTGAACAGCTGATGGGCTATGCTGCAAAACTGGTTCTGTAACTCCCCTGCAGTTTTGCTATTGAAGGGGGGGGTGTGCTTTAGGTGGTTTACACGTCCTGTATAAGATAAGCAAAATTTATGATGTTTATATGTGTGGGGCTTTTTTAAATTTAAAAAAACTTGTTCTGATTCTGCTGGTCCTGAGGAAGGAGTGAGATCTGGGCAGGACACTTTGTCCACTGAATATTTGATTTGGTTTTGGCCTGGTGCCAACATTGTCAGCTTTGGGGCGCTGAGCCTGTTTGCTCAGGCTTTTGGTTTTAATTTAGATCACACTTAGATCAATTTATAATCTGGGTTTTTTGTGTTCATCTGCTAGTGGGGTGGGGTAGGATTTGTTGTTTTTATTTTTGTTGGATGGAGACCTATAGGCATTTTTGTTTACTGTATCTATGTATATAAGGTTGTATCCAATGTTTGTTTGGTCTATTGGAAAAAAGCAAATACATTTAATTCTTCTGAGGTTCTAGGTCCTTTGTTACACAAGGGCACTGTTTGTCCAGCAATCTAGCCAGCACTTGCTTGTATCCTCTGTGTCTATGTTAATTCTGCCCCCTATAACCTGAGCCATTTTGTTTTCTCTCTCCCAACTTGTTGAGGCAAGATATTTGCTATTCTCTCTCTCACACACACTCTCTGCCTTCTCTACTGGTCCTGTAAATCGTTCCTGCCAAGATAAACCTGCTTTTGCAGGGGACCATCGGCTGGGTGAGGACTGCAGGGCCTGCTCCCTTCCAGGGCCTTTTCCAACTGGCCCAGGGGGCGTGGCCCGGGCCCTCTCTCCCAGCTACAAAGGGACTCCTGCTGCGGTGAGGCCTCGGACCATCGGCTGGGTGAGGACTGTTGGTTTCTATTTCCCTCACTGAGCAGCAACTGCAGTCACAAGACATTGTTTTACATTCCACAGTCTGTACTGTCTGTACTGTTGGAGTTTCTCACGGGAAAGGGAGACTGGATGTGACGTACACTGGTTTCCTGTTTTTCACTCTGTGTGATTCTCTCCAAGCTGTCGAGGAGAGAGGATGCATTTTTCTGCTCCGGCAGAGACAAGATGTCTTTCTGTAATATACCAGCTTTGAACTGTAAATAAAGCAATATAGAGTATGTAGCACATTTTCCTCATCCTTCCGCTGGGCACCAGAGACTCTGCTTTAAATCAACACGTGGTTATGGACTCCAGAGGTCGAATCGGAGTGCCGGCAAAGGATCGGAATGCAGAGGGACGGATCGGAAAGGAATCTGCTCTGCGCGTCGAAGTGATTGATGAGGTATGTGCTACTGCTCCGGGCAGCCTGCCAGCTTCAAGATAATGGCTTTATGGCTGGACTTTGAACTTTTAAAGCCGGTTTTGCAAATAGGCAAAAGGCTCCCAGGCACAAGTCACTATGCTGGGGAAATCGAAGTAACTTTTAAGTGTGCCTTTGTAATGAAGCAGCTGCAGCAGTGACGCAGCAAGATTTAAAGCAGCATATAATGACGCTGAAGGCTAATGCCAGAGTCATGATGGCCCTTCAGGATGCTTGTGGGATTCCTAAGCTCAACAAGAAAAATTACAGCGACTGGGTTCAGTATGCAGAGGCAATTCTGCGGAAAGAGGGTTTGTTTGAGGTGATTACAGGAACCCCCCCCAGTTCCAGTTACAGATGCATGGAAAGCTAAGGATTCCAAAGCAAGGGGAACTCTTACATTGATAGTATCCCCAGAAGAGCTCTGTCTATTGCGTGATAAGACCTCAGCCAGAGAAATTTGGGACGCTCTGAGAGAGGCTCACTTAAGGACAGAAGCTGGATCCACTATGTTTTATTTTAACAAGCTGCATAATATGGCTCTTGCTGAAGGTGGAGATGTGCGTTTACATCTAATGGAGATGCAAAATCTGAGACATGAGCTGCAACAGAGAGGACTCAACTTTCCAGAGGCTGTGTATTCTTTCATGATACTACAATCTTTGGGTTCAGGTTGGGAGTCTGTTGCAACCCAGATTGCTGTGCAACTGCTCAGCTGACAGTGGACTTTGTTACTGCCGTGATTTTAAATGAAGCAGATCGCCGGGGTGCTAGCTGCATGGGCAAGGGGGAGTCTTCACAGACGTCATCCCATAGTGCAGTGGAACCACCAGATGGCGCCAAAGCCTTGAAGGCAGTGAAATGCTACTCGTGTGGACGTCTAGGCCATATGAAGAGGGAATGCAGACATCCCAGGGCCAAGACAGAGCAGCGCAGCGAAAGCTCATCGCGCGGAAAAGGCCGAGGCAAAGGCAAAGGTCCGGTGTCTAGGACAACGCAGCACAAGGCTATGGTTTCACGCTTCACTCCAAAGGTTGCAGAGGTCCAGAAGACGTCTAGATCTTTCTTCGTTGTTGATTCAGCGGCCACCCACCACATGTGCAACGATAAGAAACTGTTTGTGTCTTTTACACCGCAGGAAGGTGCGATTCACCAGGCGGATGACCACACTATTCCCAGTAAAGGCTACGGAACTGTTGTTCTTCACAGTTTGGACTTATCGATACAGAATGTGCTTTACGTGCCAGACGCCAAACATAATCTGCTCAGCGTTGGACAGCTGAATGAGCGGAACATTGACGTTTCCTTCAAGAACAAGAAGTGCATCATCACAAAGAAAAATGATTATGTATTGCATGCAGAATATGTTGATCATTTGTTTGTTTTGTATTATGATGATGTGATGCAGGATGACACTTGTTGCATTGCAGGTTCTAACAAAAGTTTGCATGCAGAATGTATTCACGATTTTCATCGAAAATTTGGTCATTTGCATTTTGAGGCAGTATCTAAAATGCCTGCCTTGGTTGAAGGTATGACTATTAAACCCTGCAGGTACCACATGAAGTGCAAAGCATGCGCAGCAAACAAAGTGAAAATGGCTGCGAAAGGTAAGGTGTCTAGTAGGACAGCTACAGAACCATACCAGGTTGTTCATGCTGATTTGGTTGGACCACTAACGCCCTCTTTGGGTGGAAATAGGTACTTCATGGTTCTCATTGATGCATTTTCTAGATATATTTTTGTGTACAATCTCAAGCAGAAATCGGAGGCTTTTCCTAGGTTCAAGGAATTCTGTGCTTGGTTGGAAAATGTGCATGGTAAGAAGATAAAGACTCTTTTCAGTGATCGCGGGGGGGAATTCACTTCTCAGCAGTTTGAAGCTTTTCTGACTGAGAAAGGAATTCAACACGATTTGTCTAGTCCTCGCTCGCCATGGCAGAATGGACTTGCGGAACGGGCAAATCAGACTTTGCTTCAAGGGTTAAAAACCTTGCTGCATGATGCCAATCTTCCAGAGAGTTATTGGGCCGAATCTCTCTCGTGTTTTGTTTACAGTTACAATCGCAGGCTATCTTCAGCGATTGGTTGTACCTCTATGAGAAGATGTTTGGCAAGAAGCCATACATCAAACACATGAAGATTTTTGGTTCTGACATGTGGGTTCGCTCACCACAAAACTCCAAGTTAGACAAGCGTGGATTGCATGGTATCTTTCTAGGTTATCAGAAAGGGTCTTACAGAATAATGATGACTGACTCTAAGACAATTAAGCTCACGAGAAGTGTTGAGTACAATGCAAAGTGGGGGGGAGAATGTGGGAATTTTCCAATGTTATCCTGATGACGGTGATGAGACTGAGGATAGTCAAAAGCAACAACAACAACCCACACCCACTGATGAAGGTTCTGAGTCTGAATCTGAAACTGAATCGGGTGATTCAGAGGATTTCAAGAGTGCGAAAGCCTCTATGCGACCCTCTGAAAGCTCTGATCAAGAATTGGAGGAACCATTGTTCACAATAGGTCGTTTTTCTCCTAAGAAGGAAGAGGAGAGTGTTGAAGACTTAAGGCTAATTCGTAGGTCACAGAGAGCCACAAAAGGCAAACCTCCAAAGAGATTTGCTGATGAGTTTGCTAAGATAGCAGTAACAGCTGTTAAAAGCTCCAAGAAGGTATTTGAACCTTCAAGTTTCCAAGAAATCCAGGGTTTGGATTCAAAGGAAGCTGAGCCATGGTTAAATGCCATGAAGGCTGAGCTTGATTCCTTAGAAAGGAACAAAACATGGGAGCTAGTTCCAGTAGTTCCAGGAATGAAACTGCTTGAAGCAAATGGGTCTTCAAAGCGAAGACAGATCAAAATGGCAAGATAGTCAGACACAAAGCCAGATTGGTAGCCAGAGGTTTTGCACAGGTACCAGGTCAAGACTATCACGAGACCTATTCACCCACAGTGAGATATGAAAGCATTAGGCTTATGCTTAAGCTAGCTGCAGAGGAAAATCTACACATTAGTCACCATGATATTAATACAGCTTTTCTGTACGGATCTCTAGATGAATCACTTTATATGCTTCCACCTGATGGCGTACAGGTAAAACAGGGATTTGTTTGTGCTCTGAAGAAATCCCTTTATGGTCTCAAACAAAGTGCACGGTGTTGGCACACAAAACTCACTGAAGTATTGTTTTCTCTAGGTTTTCAGCAAGGGAAAGCTGATCCATGTGTATTTGTCAAAGAGGAGGGGCAAAAGAAACTGTACTGTTTGTTTTATGTTGATGATTTATTATTCTTTTGGAAAGATGTCGCAATGTACAATAGCGCCCTAGCTCAACTGAAAGAGCACTTTGACATGAAAGATCTTGGTGAGGTAAACAACTACCTATCTCTGGAAATAGAGAGAGATCAAGATGGTAACATTCTAGTACACCAGTCACGGAAAATTGCTGATGTGTTAAGCAAACTAAATCTGATGGATGCTAACCCTGTAGACACACCGATGACAACAGGTTATCAGGTAGATGACACTGAAGAAGCATTTTCTGACACTACACTGTACAGGAGTGTGCTAGGCAAGCTAAACTTCATTGCCAGATGTTCAAGACCAGACATTGCTGTTAGCTGTAATTTGCTAAGCAGACAAGTCAACAATCCTAGTGTCAAGGATTGGAAAGCTCTGAAACGCATAGCGCGGTATTTGAAAGGCACTATGCATTACAGACTGAGATTTAACAATCAGAAGTCTGGTGGTCTTGAGATATTTGCAGATGCAAGTTTTGGAAGTGACGCTACAGACAGGAAAAGTACGTCTGGAGTTTGCTACATGTACAATCAGAGTCTGTTTGATTGGTCATGCAAGAAGCAAACAACAGTTAGCTTAAGTACTTGTGAAGCCGAACTGAATGCACTGTCTTATTCACTTAAGGATTGTGAATGGTTAGTACAATTGTGCAAAGATATGAAAATTCCTGTCAAATGTCCAATCCAGGTTTACCAGGACAACAAAGCATGTTTGGCTTTGCTGAAGTCTGAAGGTTGTAAGCAAAGCACAAAGCACTTACAATTAAAGTTGCAGCATGCTAGGGAATGTATTCAGAAGGGACTCGTAACGGTGTCCTATATGCCAGGTAATGAAATTCCTGCTGATGTATTGTCCAAGATTGTATCGAGGGATCAACACTGTACCTATGTGCAGAAGTTGGGTTTGTACTGATACTGTACGAACACGCTGCCCAGTGATGTTCACAGAAAGGGGGAGGATGTTGGTTTCTATTTCCCTCACTGAGCAGCAACTGCAGTCACAAGACATTGTTTTACATTCCACAGTCTGTACTGTCTGTACTGTTGGAGTTTCTCACGGGAAAGGGAGACTGGATGTGACGTACACTGGTTTCCTGTTTTTCACTCTGTGTGATTCTCTCCAAGCTGTCGAGGAGAGAGGATGCATTTTTCTGCTCCGGCAGAGACAAGATGTCTTTCTGTAATATACCAGCTTTGAACTGTAAATAAAGCAATATAGAGTATGTAGCACATTTTCCTCATCCTTCCGCTGGGCACCAGAGACTCTGCTTTAAATCAACAAGGACTGCAGGGCCTGCTCCCTTCCAGGGCCTTTTCCAACTGGCCCAGGGGGCGTGGCCCAGGCCCTCTCTCCCAGCTATAAAGGGACTCCTGCTGCAGTGAGGCCTCGGACCATCGGCTGGGTGAGGACTGCAGGACCTGCTCCCTTCCAGGGCCTTTTCCAACTGGCCCAGGGGGCGTGGCCCGGGCCCTCTCTCCCAGCTACAAAGGGACTCCTGCTGCGGTGAGGCCTCGGACCATCGGCTGGGTGAGGACTGCAGGGCCTGCTCCCTTCCAGGGCCTTCTCCAACTGGCCCAGGGGGCATGGCCCAGGCCCTCTCTCCCAGCTATAAAGGGACTCCTGTTGCGGGGAAGCCTCGGACCATCGGCTGGGTGAGGACTGCAGGGCCTGCTCCCTTCCAGGGCCTTTTCCAACTGGCCCAGGGGGCGTGGCCCAGGCCCTTATTTGGAACAAACTTTTGGGGAAGTGTGGGAAGTGTTCTGCCATTGCTTCCCTGTTCCAGGTGGTTAATGTGCTTTAAAATGTCCTCAAGCAGTCGGTGGCAATTTCAATTTTTATTCCTTTTTTCCTTTTTTTCCTTTGTTGGGGGTGGGTGGGTGGGATGGATAGTTGGTTGGGGATTAATTTTAGCATAATTGTTCTGTTCCTTTTTGTTGTTGTTTATTGGTTCTGTATAGTTTGTGTTTTGTTTTTAAGGGGTGGGATCAGGGCTGCCTGGGAGTGGCTACCCAGCCAACACGATGGCTGGGACAAGTTCCACAGGGGGGGAAGCACTGGGACATCCGATCTCGGTGATTATGGGCAGGAGGCGGAGTTACGCTAAGACCAGACCATGTCATTACCGAGGAGGCAGGTTTAGTCATTGTTTGAAGACTATCCCTGCCTCCGGGTCTGGCCTTGACCGGATGGATACTGGAATCAACAGGGGAAACCCACATGACCTGAAAGTGTTGCTGTGCAATGCCAGGTCAATGATGAATAAAACCACTGCCATCCACGACTTGATTGTGGATGGAGGATTTGACCTGGCATGTGTGACGGAGACCTGGTTGGAGGAAGCAGATGGGCCTGTCCTTGCCGCTGCTTGCCCACCAGGTTTCTCTTACGAACAGCAACCCAGGTCATGTGGGCGGGGAGGGGGGGTTGCAGTGATTTTTAGGAAGTCACTAGCTTGCACCAGGCGTCCTACTGGGAAGATCCAGTTCTCTGAGTGCATGTTCTGGAAGTTGGGCAATAGGGGCAGTACAGGATTCCTTTTGGTGTACCGACCTCCCCGCTGCACCAAGGATTCCCTGTCCGAGCTGCTTCAGGTCGTGGCGGATTTTCTCCTGGAGACACCTAGTTTGGTTGTCCTAGGGGATTTTAACATCCATGCCGACACGACCTTACAAGGGGCCGCTCGGGACTTCGTGGAAAGCATGGCCTCCATGGGGCTGTCCCTGAATAAGTTTGGCCCAACTCATAGTCATGGACATGCCTTAGACCTGGTGTTCACCTCTAGTGACGTGGGTGATCTGACACTAAGTAAAAGTGAAACAAAAGAAGTGCCATGGTCAGATCACTTCCTGGTGCAACTGGACTTCTCCGCGACCCTCCCCTCTGCAGGGAGGTGGGACCAATTCGGATGGTCCGCCCCCGCCACTTAATGGATCCAAATGGTTTCCAGAGAGTGGTAGGGGATGCTTTAGCCCATGTTGATGGCCTTTCAGCTGATTCCCTGGTGGCCCGCTGGAATGCGGAGTTAACCAGGGCTATCGACTATCTGGCTCCGAAGCGCCCACTCCGATTGCATGGAGCCCGGACAGCCCCGTGGTTTTCTTCGGAGCTGAGGGCGATGAAACAATCGCTGAGACGGCTAGAGCGTCGGTGGCAGAAAACTCACTCCGAATCTGACCGGACACAGGTTAGAGCTCAACGTCGAGCCTACCAAGTGGCGATAGCGACGGCGAAGAAGACTTTCTTCACCGCCTCTATTGCATCTGCAGAAAATAGTAGCAGGAGACTCTTTCAGGTGGTTCGCAATTTAACGGAACCACCTTTACCACCGGGGCATTGTAAAGACCCCAAGATCTCCTGCAACGATTTTGCAAAGTTTTTGCAGATAAAATCACTCATATTCGGAAGGAGCTAGACACCACCGTGGGAGCAGGGCCAGGGCGGGAGAGTGCTAGAGCTCTGTCTGGTCAAGTTGCATGGAATCAATTTCAATCCGTTACCCCGAGGATGTGGACAGGCTGCTTGGACGCGTGAAAGCAACCACCTGTCTCCTTGATCCTTGCCCATCCTGGCTAATAAAAGCAAGCCGGGAAGGGCTGGGCGATGGGCTCTGCGGGGTGGTGAATGCTTCCCTCTGTGAGGGAACATTCCCAGATCCGCTGAAAGAGGCGGTCATTAAACCGCTTCTTAAAAACCGATCTTTAGACCCGGCCAGTATGGCCAACTATCGCCCAGTCTCAAATCTTCCATTCTTGGGCAAGGTGATTGAGCGCGTGGTTGCTGAACAACTCCAGGCACGCCTGGAGGATGCGGACCATTTGGATCCCTTCCAATCGGGATTCAGGCCTCACCATGGGACTGAAACTGCCTTGGTCGCACTGGTTGATGATCTCCGGCGAGCTAGGGACAAAGGTGAGAGTTGTTTCCTGGTTCTGCTGGATCTCTCAGCGGCCTTTGATACAATCGACCATAACATCCTTCTGGACCGTCTAGAGGGGCTGGGAGCTGGGGGCACTGTTATACAGTGGTTTCGCTCCTTCCTCCTGGGCCGTGTTCAGAAAGTGGTGGTGGGGATGAGTGTTCAGACCCCTGGGCCCTCACTTGTGGGGTGCCTCAGGGTTCCGTCCTCTCCCCATGCTTTTTAACATCTATATGAAGCCGCTGGGAGAGATCATCAGGGGATTTGGACTGGGTGTCCATCAATATGCAGATGATACCCAGCTCTACCTCTCTTTCAAATCAGAACCAGTGAAGGCGGTGAAGGTCCTGTGTGAGTGCCTGGAGGCGGTTGGAGGATGGATGGCGGCTAATGGATTGAAGTTGAATCCTGACAAGACAGAAGTATTGTTTTTGGGAGACAGGGGCGGGCTGGTGTGGAGGACTCCCTGGTCCTGAATAGGGTAACTGTGCCCCTGAAGGACCAGGTGCGCAGCCTGGGAGTCATTTTGGACTCACAGCTGTCCATGGAGGCACAGGTCAATTCTGTATCCAGGGCAGCTGTCTACCAACTCCACCTGGTACGCAGGCTGAGACCCTACCTGCCCGCGGACTGTCTCGCCAGAGTGGTGCATGCTCTGGTTATCTCCCGCTTGGACTACTGCAATGCGCTCTACATGGGGCTACCTTTGAAGGTGACCCGGAAACTGCAATTAATACAGAATGCGGCAGCTAGACTGGTGACTGGGGGCGGCCGCCGAGACCACATAACACCGGTCTTGAAAGACCTACATTGGCTCCCAGTACGTTTCCGAGCACAATTCAAAGTGTTGGTGTTGACCTTTAAAGCCCTAAACAGCCTCGGCCCAGTATACCTGAAGGAGCGTCTCCACCCCCATTGTTCTGCCCGGACGCTGAGGTCCAGCGCCGAGGGCCTTCTGGCGGTTCCCTCATTGCGAGAAGCAAAGCTACAGGGAACCAGGCAGAGGGCCTTCTCGGTAGTGGCGCCCGCCCTGTGGAACGCCCTCCCATCAGATGTCAAAGCAATAAATAACTACCTGACATTTAGAGGGCATCTTAAGGCAGCCCTGTTCAGGGAAGCTTTTAATCTGTGATATTTTACTGTATTTTTTGTTTCTATGGAAGCCGCCCAGAGTGGCTGGGGAAACCCAGCCAGATGGGCGGGGTACAAATAATAAATTATTATTATTATTATTGCATTAATAAAACCTTTGAACTCCAGACATTGTGATTATTTCAATCCAATTCACTCAAGCTACAAGTCTCCAAGATCTACCAAGAGTTGTTTTTGGTATCTGTCTGTCTCGAGAGACAATTGAGTTCATCTCTGGGGGTAAAGTCAAACCGCTGCGTTAGCAGCACCAAAGTGACCTCCCCACGGTGTAAGCCCAGGTAGTGTATATGGAGATCCTGGGCTGCCTAGACAACAAGAATCACCTCTCAACCTTGCTGATGTTGTCCAAAGGAACGCAGAGTAATACGTTTGGCACCAGCTTGGCTGCAGGAGTTACCAGAAGGAGGCGTGCAGGGCACCATCTAGAGTAGACCAATTGAAATTAATGGAGATGCCTAACTTAGGTTTATTAATCTCAATGGGTCTACCCAAATTAGTTGAGTGCAACCCATTGTTTTAAATGATTTATGAGCTGTTGGATATTTTTATATTTTTGTAAGTTCCTTCTGAGACATTTTTTTGTAGAAAGTAATGAATAAATGCAATTAATAAAATTTACCCCACACTTCCCCCCCCCTTTGTTTGTGCACATGCAAAAATCATCCTACAAAATGGGGGGGGGGAAGAGATATTAAGGCTGCAATCTTGTGCTTCCTAGGGCTTACTTTCCTGGGATTTGTGTTGTAGGCATTTACAAGTAGGCATAACAGTTTGAAGTTTCAAGCAGCAAGCTAGCTAGGGATCAATGTCCTTGAAATGTCTAATCATCACAAGAAAGTTAGTTTCCCTCCTAGGAACACTACTGGTTTCCCCTGAAGTAACACTATCCCAGAAGAAAGTGCAGGTTGTGAATCCCAGTATGTTCTAGATCTAGCCCCAAAATAATAGTGCACGTCTCAGGATGCTGAAAAAATATATTTTTTTATTTTCAAAGCAACCCTGTGACTTTTGCCTTTCTTGCACTTCTTTTCTATTGTAGGTTAAAGCATAACCTAATTTATTTGAGAAAGATGGTGAAGACCACCTGAGTATTGTTTTCTGGAAAAGTGATACCTTACAATATTAGCACAGGGCTATCCAAAATGAGATTTTATAATTGTGAACTGCTTTGTATACCCAAAAATCCCAGTAGAAATACCATAACCCCGTCCC